TGAGGCATTCTGGAAGGCACCTGGAACTGCTTCAGCGAGGAGGCGGAGATCAGCTATGACAAATGCTGCGGATGTATCCAGGGAAGATGAGTTAGAATTAACTTTGGGTGACCTTGGCAGGAGCAGTTACAGTGATGTAGTGAGGATGAAAACCTGATTTGAGTATGGATTCAAAAAACCAGGAGGAGAGATTTGGCATATCCATGTAATAGAAAACTACTAAGCAATAAAAATGAACAATGGATGCAACAACATGGATAAATTTCAAAATAATTATGCTGAGTGAAAGCCAAACACAAAAGAATATATACTATGTTATTTCATTTATATAAAATTCTAGAAAATGCAAATTAAACTATAGTGACAGAAAGCAGAGGCATGGCATTGCCTGAGGCAAATGAGGGCCATAAGGAAAGATTAGGAATAGGCAGAAGGAAACTTGGGGTGATGGACATATTTACTGTCTTGATGGTGATGTTTCAGAGATGTGTACACATATTGAAATGCATCAAATTGTACATTTTCAATGTGTGCAGTTTATTGTGTATTAATTATACCTAAATAAAGCTATAAAAATAAAAACATGGCTGGTCACCATGGCTCATGCCTATAATTCCAGAACTTTGGGAGGCCAAGGAGGGAAGATCGCTTGAGTTCAGGAGTTTGAGGTTACAGTGAGCCATGATTATGCCACTGCACTGAAGCCTGAGCAACAGAGAGGCTCTGTCTAATAAAATTAAATAGGCTAGGCATGGTGGCTCATGCCTGTAATCCCAGCACTTTGGGAGGCCAAGGCGGGCAGATCATGAGGTCAGGAGTTCAAGACCAGCCTGACCAATATGGTGAAACCCTGTCTCTACTAAAAATACAAAAATTGGTCGGGTACCTGGCTCATGCCTGTCATCCCAGCAATTTGGGAGGCTGAGGCAGGTGGGTCATGAGGTCAGGAGTTCAAGACCAGCCTGGCCAAGATAGTGAAACCACATCTCTATTAAAACTACAACAGTCAGGCCAGTTGTAGTGTCGGGTTCCTATAATTCCAGCTACTCAGGAGGCTGAGGCAGAGAATTGCTTGAACCCGGGAGGTGGAGGCTGCCCAGATTGTGCCACTGTACTCCAGCCTGGGCAACAGAGCAAGACTCCATATAAAAAAATAATAATATTACAAAACATTTGAAAAATAAAGAAATAATAATAATAATAATAATACAAAAATTAGCCAGGCATGGTGGTGAGCGCCTGTAGTCCCAGCTACTTGGGAGGCTGAGGCAGGAAAATTGTTTGAACCCAGGAGGTGGAGGTTGCAGTGAACCAAGATCATGCCACTGCACTCCAGCCTGGGCAACAGAGGGAGACTCCGTCTCTAAATAAATAAATAAAGTAAAAACATGGCCAGACGCGGTGGCTTACACCTGTAATCCCAGAACTTTGGGAGGCTGAGGTGGGTGCATCACTTGAGGTCAGGAATTTGAGACTAGCCTGGCCAACATGGTGAAACCCCGTCTCTACTAAAAATACAGTAAGTTAGCCGGGCATGGTGGCAGGAACCTATAGTCCAAGCTACTCAGGAGGCTGAGACAGGAGAATCACTTGAACCCAGGAGGTGAAGGCTGAAGTGAGCCTAGATCGCACCATTGCACTGTAGCCTGGGTGACAGAGTGAGACTTCGTCTCAAAAAAAAATAAAAAATAAAAACATTACAGATAGAGTTGAAGCTCCATTCTGTCCTTCCAGATACCATTTCTTTTCCTCCCCTCCCCAGGTGATTTCTACCCTATATTTGTTGCCTGTCATTCTTATGCATGCTTTTTATTTTTAATTACTAAATTTTAAAAAAATTTTATTTATGTAAAAATTGAGACAGGGTCTCATCATGTTGACCAGGCTGATCTTGAACTCCTGGACTCAAGCAACCTGCCTGCCTTGGCCTCCCCAGGTGGGGATTACAGGAGTGACCCACCACACCCAACCAGTTCATATGTTTGTATCCATAAATCATAGCATTGTTTTGTTTATTTATTTATTTATTTATTTGAGACAGGGTCTCATTCTGTCTCCCAGGCTGGAGTGCAGTAGCACAGTGCTGTCTCACCCACCCAGGGTCAAGCAATCCTCCCACCTCAACTTCCCAAATAGTTGGGACCACAGGTGCACACCACCATGTCTGGCTAATTTTTGTGTTTTTTATAGAGATGGGGTTTCGCCATGTTGCCCAGGCTGGTCTTTAACTCCTGGGCTCAAGCAGTCTGCCAACCTTGGCCTCCCAAAGTGCTGGGATTACAGGCATGAGCCATCATGCCCAGCCAATTTTATAAATTACATATTTTGTGTGTGTATATATATATATATATATATATATTTTTTTTTTTTTTAAGATGGAGTTTCGATCTTGTTGCCCAGGCTACAGTGCAATGACATGATCTCAGCTCACTGCAACCTCCACCTCCCAGGTTCAACCAATTCTCCTGCCTCAAGCCTCCTGAGTAGCTGGGACTACAGGCACCCACCACTATGCCAGGCTAGTTTTTTGTATTTTTAGTAAACATGAGGTTTCACCATTTTGGTTAAGCTGGTCTTGAACTCCTGACCTCAGGTGATCCACCCATCTCAGCCTCCCAAAGTGCTGGGATTACAGGCATGAGCTACCACGTCCAGCCACTTTGTACATCTTTCTGCAACTTGACTTTCTCACTGAATATCTTTTTTTTTTTTTTTTTTTGAGACGGAGTTTCGCTCTTGTTGCCCAGGCTGGAGTGCAATGGCGCGATCTCGGCTCACCGCAACCTCCGCCCCCTGGGTTCAGGAAATTCTCCTGCCTCAGCCTCCTGAGTAGCTGGGATTACAGGCACGCGCCACCATGCCCAGCTAATTTTTTGTATTTTTAGTAGAGACGGGGTTTCACCATGTTGACCAGGATGGTCTCGATCTCTTGACCTCGTGATCCACCCGCCTCGGCCTCCCAAAGTGCTGGAATTACAGGCTTGAGCCACCGCGCCCGGCCTCTCACTCAATATCTTTAAGATACTTTTTTGGCAGGGGGATGGGGTCCCACTCTGTCAGCTAGGCTGGAGTACAGTGGTGCAGTCTCCGTTTACTGCAACCTCCACTTCCCAGGCTCAGGCGATCCTCCCACCTCAGCCTCCCGAGTAGCCAGAACCAAAGGTGCATGCCACCACACCCAGCTAATATTTTGTGTATTTGGTAGAGACAGGGTTTTACCATGTTGCCTAGGCTGATCTCAAACTCCTGAGCTCAAACAATCCGCCCATCTCAACCTCCCAAAGTGCTGGGATTACAGATGTGAGCAACCACACCTGGTCGACATTTAATCAAAAACAAACAAACAAAAAGATTTATCTCTGTGGCTTCTAATATCTGTAGCCGATTTATAGTAATGCCAATAATTTCACTGTGTGACTATAGCCCAATTTCCTTCTTTCCTCCCTCCCTCCTTCTCTCCCTCCCTCCCTCCCTTGCTCCCTCCCTTTCTTCCTTCCTTCCTTCTTTCCTTCCTTTCTTCTTTTCTCTTTCTCTCTTCTTTCTTTCCTTCTTTCTTTCTTTTTTTCAGAGAACAAGCTTCCCTCTTGTTGCCCAGGCTGGAGTGCAATAATGTGATCTCAGCTCACTGCAACCTCCTCCTGGGTTCAAGTGATTCTCCTGCCTCAGCCTCCCAAGTAGCTGGGATTACAGGCATCTGCCACCATGCTCAGCTCATTTTTTGTATTTTTAGTAGAGATGGGGTTTCACTATGTTGGCCAGGCTGGTCTCAAACTCCTGACCTCAGGCAATCCACCCACCTTGGCCTCCCAAAATGCTGGAATTACAGGCGTGAGCCACTGTGCCCGATCTATAGCCCAATTCTCTTATTGTCCTGTCGGTGAACACTTGGGCTGCTTACAGTTTTCCCCCTATATAGATGCTACAATGAACCTTTATTTATTTATTAATTTATTTATTGAGATGGAGTCTCATTCTGTCACCCAGACTGAAGTGCAGTGGTGTGATTAGAGTTCACTTTAGCCTCAACTTCCTTGGGCTTAGGTGATCCTCCCACTTCAGTTGCCCAAATAGCTGGGACTACAGGTATATGCCACCACACTCAGTTAATTTTTGTATATTTTGTAGAGACAGAGTTTGCCATTTTACCCAGGCTGGTCTGGAACTCCTGGGCTCAAGTGATTTGCTCACTTCGGCCTCCCAAACTGCTAGGATTACAGGTGTGGACCACCAAGCCCAGCCCAGTGAATCTTTTAATATCTGTGAGTTCATGTGAGAGGGGCTCTCCAGGGTGACTACACTGGGGTAGACACTGGATATTAGGGCTTGTGCCATTGACACTAGCAGGGTCTTGGGTGTTTTACTGGCACATTTTAAGAGGCTGATTGCCAACTTATTTTGATTAGTAAAGCGGGTGAACTGTTCAAGTCCCTCTTTTACAAATAAAAGAGGATTCAGTCAATAATTTGCTCAAGGGTAGCTCAGAATGGAACCATAATGTCAAATCTTTGCATGTTCTTTCTTCTGTTCTTCTGTTATTCCCTATTCCTTTACTCGCCCCTTGTAACAGTCACCTGTCATGATTGGATTCCCAGTCACTACGAACTCTTAAGAGATAAATTGGTAGAGCCTATTCTGAAGCAGTAATTTTATCCTAAAAGCCACCAACCTCTTTAACATTTCTTCTGACTCCATGGAATGCTTTCTAAATTTATATTCCTGGCAGTATGGATGCATAGTTTTTTACATGCAGGATTTGCTCGCATTTAAAATGTTCTTTGAATATTTCATTGGCTGCGAATCCATTAGACTCTACCATGGAGGCCTATGTGTTTCTATATATAAGGCTCTTTCAGGCTGTGAACGTCAAGGGGAAGGTTTTTCTCATAGAGAAGAACTAGAGTAGCAAGGACAAAGGAGCAACAGGCCAGGTGCTACCTCAACAAATAGCAGCAGCATTGTGCAGTCACAACCTTCCCTTGTCACTAAGCAACAAGAAATTGACCTCCAGAGATTCTCTTCCCTGAAGACATATCCTCCAGAAGACAAAAGGAAAGTTTGCCTTTTCTGCTCCCTTCTTGGAAAGATGCAAAGTGCTTTAGTAGGCTCCTGGGTAAGAGTGCACTTTATGTTAATCCTGGCCCTTGGTCCTCTGGTTGTACCCGAAATCTGGCTGAGTCGTGAGAGTGAAGTGAAAAGGTTTTCATCTGGCGTCCAACCTGGAATAGGACCCTGAGCTGCCCACTTCCTCTCTACCATCTTGAAGTCACCCCTGGATGCTGCCTAGTCTTCCTAACACTTTGCCCCCTTCCATGCAACCTGGTATCCTGCAAGCCAGTGGAAACTCCTAGTCCTCTAGCCACCCCATTTATTCCTAGTTCATTGTTTGGGCCCCTCAAGCTTTTGGAGTTTGGCTGCTGTCTAGTCTGGGAACATTTTGAGGGCAAAGACTGTGTTTTTGTCCGTCTGTATTTCCTGTGCCCAGCCCCATGCCTGGAAGACAATAAAGGTCTGATAAATACTGTTAAGCTAACTGGAATAGAGAGTGAGGGGTTCCTGAAGGAGAAGGATAGATAGACAAAGTGACCTACGTCTTCAGTGGGATGGAAAGATACAAGACTTCCTAGTCCCATTGAAGAGCCCACTGTGATGGCCAGAGGACAGGCTTGGGACAGGTTCTGCTCAGGGTTATAATTGTGGAGGGCCAGATACTCATCCTCTCCAGAGAGAATTCAGGACAAAGAGGTTGGGCCATAGGCATTCCCAGACATGATCACCCACAGGGTGTCCGCCTAATGACATCAGCATGGTACAGCTCCTTTCTTGGACCTCTGATAGTTGCTATCAACTATTTCTGTCTTCTGACAGTTCCTCTCTCTGAAATTATCTCCAGGCTGGGTGTGGTGGCTCACTCCTGTAATCCCAACATTTTGGGAGGCCAAGGTGGGCAGATCATTTGAGGTCAGGAGTTTGAGACCAGCCCAGCTGACATGGAGAAACCCTGTCTCTACTACAAACACAAAAATTAGCCAGGCATGGTGGTGGGCAACTGTAGTCGCAGGTACTTGGGAGGCTGAGCCAGGAGAATGACTTGAACCCAGGAGGTGGAGGTTGCAGTGAGCCGAGATTATGCCACTGTATTCCAGCCGGGGTGACAGAACAAGACTCTGTTTCAAGAAAAAAAAAAAAAAAAAAAAAAAAAAAAATTCAGCGAGAACAATAAAGGGGATTTCTTCTCAGACTCTTTAGGAAAGGACCACACCCCTGATTAGTGGACCTGCCCACAAATCTCTGCTCTGAATGAATGGCACCACTTCCCCACATATGCATAGTCTAAGTGGGTCAGTACAGCTGAGGCCATGAGGCCAACTGTCCCAATGATGGATGGAGACAATTCTATACTGGCCCATCTCCAGGAGTATCCTAACTCCTTAGATTCTTTCTATTCTGTCAGGAACTTCCATGAGGGGCTTCTGGTCTGGCTTTCCTGGAACCCTCCGTTGGGGCCCTGAGGGCTAGGACTTGAGTGATTTGAGTGAGTTTTATCCTCATTCCTGTCTTGTTATAGCACAACAGTGGCTTCTATGGGCACTACAGAAGCCAATTCAAGAGTGAAAGTGCTAGAGAATACCGCCTTGCAGCCAAGCCCCAGCCTCCAGCAGTGTTCCTGCAGCGATGTCAGGTACAAGGCAGACCTGAAGGCAATGGGGGTAACTGGACCAGTTCTTGCCTCTCCCAGAACCCATCCCCAGCCCTTTAATGGCTGTACTGACAGCTAGCTGGGGCCAGCTATCCCTGGGACAGGCTTTACCTCTCTTCTCTGAGATGTCAGATCTTTCCCCTACAGACAGGGTGGAAAAGAGTGAGTACCAAACTGAACCATTTTGCTCACTGCCCTTCTAAATGAGCAAAGGGCAAGGGCCCAGCTGGGGTGGGTAGCTATGGGCAGAGAACCTCTAGAAGCCAGGAAGTAAGCCTTGAGTTTTTCTGACAACTACCTTCATATTCAGATTCCTTGATGCTAACAAAGCCCATGGTCCATCCCATAGCCAGCTTCACAGTCTAGGGCCTTGGAAATTAATAGGAGGCCTACTCTGGTCAGGGAAGTAGTACAGGAGGCGGCTGGGTACTGGCCTGCACATTTGGCCGGGGAATACTGGAAAGGAGTGATGGCAGAGGTGGCCTAGAGTGGTTGTAATAGGCTTCTAGAGAACAGGAAAGGGATATAGGGCCACAGGCCCTTTACTGCTTACAGGCCTGGAGACAAGGAAGGGGCACTGTGTATCGTAAATCAGGGTCACGGCAGGGCAAGGTGGCTCACGCCTGTAATCCTAGCACTTTGGGAGGCCAAGGCAGGCGGATCACTCGAAGTCAGGAGCTCGAAACCAGTCTGGCCAACATGGTGAAATCCTGTGTCTACTAAAAATACAAAAAAAAAAAAAAAAAAAAGAAAGAAAGAAAGAAAGAGAGAAAGAAAGCAATTAGCCAGGCACGGTAGTGCACACCTGTAATCCCACCTACTTGGGAGACTGAGGTAGGCAGAATCACTTGAACCTGGGAGACAGAAGTTGCAGTGAGCCAAGATTGCACCACTGCACGCCAGCCTGGGCAGCAGAGCGAGATTCCATTTCAAAAAAATAAAAATATATAAAATAAAAATAAATAAATAAATCACAGTCACAATAGTAAAAAGGATACTCAAAGCAACAGAACTCAGAAGGATATGTTTACAAAGCATTGGGTGTGACAGCCTCAGGTAAAGGCAGTCTCACAGGCTGTTAACACCAAGTGGTGTGTACCAAAGAACCCAAAGGGACAAGGGGGAGGCATGGCTCCTAGAATCGAGAAGGAGAGAAAGGCATGGAAAGGGTCACCCTGACAGAAGCAGTGATCCCAGGTAAAGAGACATAGCCAGGTGGGAGGTGGCCTAGGAGGGAGCCAAGAGAAGAAACACCTCCTCTCTCTTTTCCTCCATTTCCTCCCAGGGATCCCTGGTAGCCAGGACAGGGAGCCTGGTGTTGAGTGCAGTCAAGTCAGCCTCCAGAGCAACAGCTGGTAGAGGAAGGCCCAGAGGGATCTGAATGGTGCCTGAAACAGGCACCACACAAGGCACCTTCTTGCTTCCTAGCATCTTGCCAGGTCCTACTTGATCTGCCATCTGGATTTTCTATGAATTGCTTTCCCAGGCTGAGAGCAGGGTCCTGGAGGCTGCTATTTTATGGAACTGAACTTCCTTAGCATATACACTTGCAAGGACTGCCTAGCACAGCCTACCAAGCCAGGCCCAGATGCAGCTCCAGACGTTTATCCAGGGCCATCTCCCTTTTGAGAGTGATGGTATCTGGGTAGTGCAGGAAGAGAAGCAATCCAGAGACTTCCTGCTGTATGCTTGTTATTGCCCTCGGTGGCAGCTCTCCTCTGAGAGACTGGAACATCCGATCAATCTGTTAAACTCATTCCTCATGAACAGACATGTAAGAGACATGTTTTGGCTGCTGATCAATGTAAGGACTTGTTACATAAATAATTTACTAGCATTATCAGCACCCCTAACTAGCATAATCTGTGTGTCTTGGATTCAGGCTACATAAATGTCAAATCTCCTGTTCCATTTTAGGTCTAAAACTGTTTTAACTAACAGGACCACTCAGGAAAGTTGCACATTTTCTTTTTTTTTTTTTTTTTTTTTTTTTTTTTTTTTTTTTTTGAGACGGAGTTTCGCTCTTGTTACCCAGGCTGGAGTGCAATGGCGCGATCTTGGCTCACCGCAACCTCTGCCTCCCGGGTTCAGGCAATTCTCCTGCCTCAGCCTCCTGAGTAGCTGGGATTACAGGCATGCGCCACCATGCCTAGCAAATTTTTTGTATTTTTAGTAGAGATGGGGTTTCACCATGTTGACCAGGATGGTCTCGATCTCTTGACCTCGTGATCCACCCTCCTCGGCCTCCCAAAGTGCTGGGATTACAGGCTTGAGCCACTGCACCCGGCCTGGAAGTTGCACATTTTCTTTTTGCACTGGCTGAGAGGTATCAGGTTTCAGCTGACAAATTCTAGCTATTATTTAAAGCCTTTCCAAGATGTAGCATCCATTCTTCTTTGGTTTGTAAAATTTTTGTCCATGACATTCAGATGCAAGAAAATTCTTTTTTCTTCTTTTTCATTGTTTTCTTCTAAAGCAGATTAGTCTATTTCTAGCCTTTACCTTCCTAATTCTTGGGAAATATAATTCTGGTCCTCTTGGTTTCTCAGGTTGGATAAGAGTCTTGTCTGGTTAGGGGCAGGTTCTTCGCCTGTGGTTCCATGATTGCTGGGCCCCTGCTGTCATCCCACCTCTCAGTTTCCCAAAGAGGCTCCTCTCTTATTGAAGACTGCCCAGCCTCTACAGGGGTCCTTAGCCCTGCCACATACAAATGCTGCCCCTTCCAAAGAAAACCACCTCTCTTCCAAGGTCTCTTAAGATGGAATCACAGTCTTAGCCAGGCGCGGTGGCTCAAGCCTGTAATCCCAGCACTTTGGGAGGCCGAGGAGGGTGGATCACGAGGTCAAGAGATCGAAACCATCCTGGTCAACATGGTGAAACCCCGTCTCTACTAAAAATACAAAAAAAAATTAGCTGGGCATGGTGGCACGTGCCTGTAATCCCAGCTACTCAGGAGGTTGAGGCAGGAGAATTGCCTGAACCTGGGAGGCGGAGGTTGCGGTGAGCGAGATCGTGCCATTGCACTCCAGCCTGGGTAACAAGAGCGAAACTCTGTCTCAAAAAAAAAAAAAAAAAAGATAGAATCACAGTCTTAACTCTACCTGCTCAGAAACCATGGATTTTACCACCTTCATCGAAAAGGAGCTGTGAATGGTTAAGAAACAAAGATGCTAGTGATTATTCTTTTCAGGGCAAGAATACTCAGAAAGGGGCCGGGCGCGGTGGCTCAAGCCTATAATCCCAGCACTTTGGGAGGCCGAGGCGGGTGGATCACGAGGTCAAGAAATCGAGACCATCCTGGTCAATATGGTGAAACCCCGTCTCTACTAAAAATACAAAAAATTAGCTGGGCATGGTAGCACGTGCCTGTAATCCCAGCTACTCAGGAGGCTGAGACAGGAGAATTGCCTGAACCCAGGAGGCGGAGGTTGCGGTGAGCCGAGATCGCGCCATTGCACTCCAGCCTGGGTAACAAGAGCGAAACTCCGTCTCAAAAATAAAAAAAAAAAAAAAAGAATACTCAGAAAGGAAATGACTGTGCTTCTCACCAAGCTTCCACAGTTTTGAGAGAACAAAACTCAGTGGGCATCAACAAATTATCCTGCCACTGTAGGAATAGTGAATTTCCAGTCAGAGGTGACTCTGACAGGAAAGATATGTACATTCTGGGGCTATGTACAATCCTGTAGCTGAGGATAGACACAGGGTAGAAATTTGGGGGTCAATTGAAACTTGCCCAAGATGCCTAGATTTTATTTTAATCAAAACTTTCATTGAAGTCATTATCAATTTATAAGCTGTTGTAAAAAATAATAGAGATCTCTTCTACACTTTGCCTGGTTACCTTTAATGGTAACATTTTGCAAAGCTATAGTACAATATCACAACCAGGACATTGACATTGATTGATATAATCACTAAAGTTCATTCAAATTTCCCCCCGGTTTTACTCTGTGTGTGTGTGTGCGTGTGTGTGTGTGTGTATTAAGAGCTATAAAATTGGGCCGGGCACAGTGGCTCAAGCCTGAAATCCCAGCACTTTGGGAGGCCGAGGCAGGTGAATCACAAGGTCAAGAGATCGAGACCATCCTGGTCCACATGGTGAAACCCTGTCTCTACTAAAAAAAAAATTCAAAAAATTAGCTGGGCATGGTGGCACGTGCCTGTAATCTCAGCTACTCAGGAGGCTGAGGCAGGAGAATTGCCTGAACCCAGGAGGCAGAGGTTGCGGTGAGCCGAGATCGCGCCATTGTACTCCAGCCTGGGTAACAAGAGCTAAAACTCCATCTAAAAAAAAAAAAAAAAAAAAAAAGAGCTATAAAATTTTGACCACAGTGGCTCACACCTGTAATCCCAACCCTTTGGGAGGCCAAGGTGGGTGGCTCACTTGAGGTCAGGAGTTCGAGACCAGCTTGGCCAACACGGTGAAACCCCATTTCTACCAAAAATAAAAAAATTAGCCCAGGATGTCAAGGCTGAAGTGAACTATGATTGCACTCCAGCCTGGCAACAAAGTGAAACCTTGTCTCAAAAAAAGTTATATAAATGGAATAATACAATATGCAACCTTTGGAGACTGGCTATTTTTGCAGCATAATTTCCTAAAGATTCATCCAAGTTATTGTGTTCCTCAATTGTTCATTTATTTTCATTACTGAGTAGTATTCCTTGATACACATGTACTGGTTTGTTTAAACATTCATCTGTTAAAGGATATCTGACCTGATTCTAGTTTTTGGCTTATACAAATAAAGCTGTTATGAATATTTGTCTATAGATCTTTGGTTGAACATAAGCTTTTGTCTCTCTGGGATAAATGCCCAGGAATACAATTGCTGGGTCATATGGTAGTTGCATATGTAGTTTTTAAAAGAAATTGCCAACCTGTTTTTGAGAATGGCTTTACCATTTTATATTCCCACCAGCAGTGCATGAATGAACTGGTTTCTCTGCATTCTCACCAACACCTGGTGGTGTTTCTATTTTCAGTTGTAGTTATTCTGATAGCTGTGTGGTGATACTTTATTGCAGTTTCAATTTGAATTTCCCTGATGTTTAATGATGTATATCTTTTCTTTTTTTTTTTTTTTTTTCGAGACGGAGTTTCGCTCTTGTTACCCAGGCTGGAGTGCAATGGCGCGATCTCGGCTCACCGCAACCTCCGCCTCCTGGGTTCAAGCAATTCTCCTGCCTCAGCCTCCTGAGTAGCTGGGATTACAGGCACGCACCACCATGCCCACCTAATGTTTTGTATTTTTAGTAGAGATGGGGTTTCACCTTGTTGACCAGGATGGTCTTGATCTCTTGATCTCCTGATCCACCCGCCTCAGCCTCCCAAAGTGCTGGGATTACAGGCTTGAGCCACCACGCCCGGCGATGAGTATCTTTTCATATGTTATTTGTCATCTGTAAATCTTGTTTGGTTAGATGTCTTCATGTTTGTCCATTTTCTAACTAGATTGTGATTTTACTGTTGAGAGAATTCTTTATATATTCTAGTCTTCTGTTTGATACATGGTTTGTAGATACTTTCTCCTAGCCTGTAGCTTGGTTCGCAGTGGCGTGATAATGGCTCATTGCATCCTTAACCTCTTAAGCTCAAGTGATCCTTCCGCTTCAGCCTTCCTAGTTGCTGGGACCACAGGTATGTGCCACCACACCTGGCTAATTTGTTACTTTTTTTTTGTAGAGATGTGGTCTGGGAGTCTTGCCATGCTGCCCAGGCTGGTCTTGAACTCCTGTGCTCAAGCAATCCTTTCTCCTTGGCCTCTCAAAGTCCGGGGATTATGGGTGTGAGCCACTGCACTCAGCCTTAGCTTGCTTTTTTTTTTTTTTTTTTTTTTTTTTTGGAGACGGAGTCTCTCTCGCCAAGTATGGAGTGCGGTGGTGAGATCTCCACTCATTGCAACCTCCGCCACCCGAGTTCAAGCAATTCTCCTGCCCCAGCCTCCCCAGTAGCTGGGATTACAGGCACCCACCACCACACCCAGCTAATTTTTGTATTTTTGGTGGAGACGAGGTTTCACCATGTTGGCCAGGCTGGTCTCGAACTCCTGGCCTCAAGCGATCAACCTGTCTCGGCCTCTCAAAGTGCTAGGATTACAGGTATGAGCCACTGTGCCTGATCTCAGCTTGCTTTTTGAGGAATGAAAGTTTCCCATCTTCTTCGAGTTTTCATTCTGCTTGAAGACTACCACTGGACTGTCTAAGGCAGGCGGTCCTAAAAAGGGAACTCTTAAACACACACTCAGTAATCTCTACCCTTATTCTGGTTCAAGTATATAGGATGGAGCATTTTATCTAGGAACCTGCTTTCAGCCCTTACCTGTACTCCCAAGCCAGCCAAGCCTGACCTTACTAGATCTGGCCACTTCAGGTCTACAGCAGAAGAAGCTGAGTGGCTGGGAGGGAATGGCTCTGAGGGCAGAACCCAGGCACAAGGCAAGAAGGTGCTCTTGGGACAGATTCCTGCTGAAGTCTGGAGGCCTAAGAGATGCTCTTTCTCTGCCTAGGAGGGGAGCAAGGGTCTCTAGCTCCAACTGAGCCAAAGTAAATGCCATGGGGCCAGGACTTTCTGTCCCTGTTCATTAATTTTTTTTTTTTTTTTAAAGACAGAGTTGCCCAGGCTGGAGTACAGTGGCGTGATCTCAGATCTCTGCAACCTCTGCCTCCAGGTTTAAGCGATTCTCCCACCTCAGCCTCCTGAGTAGCTGGGATTACAGGTGGGCACCACCACGCCCAGCTAATTTTTTTGTGCGTTTTAGTAGAGATGGGGTTTCACCATGTTGGCCAGGTTGGTCTTGAACTCATGACCTCAAGTGATCTGCCCGCCTTGGCCTCCTAAAGTGCTGAGATTACAGGTGTGAGCCACCACACTCGGCCTAATTTTTGTATTTTTAGTAGAAACGGGGTTTCACTATGTTGGCCAGGCTGGTCTCAAACTCCTGACCTCAAGTGATCCACCTGCCTCAGCTTCCCAAAGTGCTGGGATTACAGGTGTGAGCCACAGCCTGTTCACTGATTTGACAGCAACATTTACTGAGCACAGTGTCAGGCATTATTCTCAGTGCTGGAGTTACAGATGTGAGCAAGACAGACCACCTTTGCCTACAAGAAGCTTATGTTCTAATGGGGTGCATGAGATGTTCTAATCGGGGCAGGGGCAACAACATATTATAGAATCATATAAAGCCAGGCGTGGTGGCTCACGCCTGTAATCCCAGCACTTTGGGAGGGTGAGGTGGGAGGATCACCTGAGGTCAGGAGTTCAAAACCAGCCTGACCAATATGGTGAAACCCCATCTTTAAAAAAAAAAAAAAAGAATCATATAGTTAGCAGGTGAAAAATGCAGGGTTAGGCCGGGCGTGGTGGCTCAAGCCTGTAATCCCAGCACTTTGGGAGGCCGAGGTGGGTGGATCACGAGGTCAAGAGATCGAGACCATCCTGGTCAACATGGTGAAACCCCGTCTCTACTAAAAATACAAAACATTAGCTGGGCATGGTGGCGTGTGCCTATAATCCCAGCTACTCAGGAGGCTGAGGCAGGAGAATTGCCTGAACCCAGGAGGCGGAGGTTGCGGTGAGCTGAGATCGCGCCATTGCACTCCAGCCTGGGTAACAAGAGTGAAACTCCATCTCAAAAAAAAAAAAAAAAGAAAAATGCAGGGTTAGGGTGATAGAACTATTGGCATAGTGCTCAAGGAAGGAAGAGGGAAGTGTGAGGAAATTATATGACCAGGAGAAGAAACAGGTGGCACAAAACCCTGAGTGGAAGCACCTGGTATTTCCCAGGAGCAGTGGGGAAACCAGTGTGGCTGGAGATAACAAAAGGACCAAATATCATGTGGGTCTCACAGACCACTATGATGACTTTGGCTATCACAAACAGGAGGAATTGTTGTGAATTTTCAGCAAATGAGATGTGATCTCATTTATGTACTAACGGAATATGCTGGCTGCTAAGTGGACAACAGACTGGAGGGGCAAGTTTGAAAGCAGGGACACCAGGTAGGAAGCTCTTGGAAAAATTCAGGCAGGAGAGGAAGGTGGCTTGGACCAGGGAAAACAGTTGGCATGCTGAGAAGTGGTCTGGTCCTGAGTACATTTTGACCACAATATCAACAGGATACTGACACCTTCAATGTGAGGTATGAGAGAAGAGAATTAAGGGGACTCAAGGTGTTTGATGGGATCTGGCTGCTGTGGTCTAAGCTGGAGGAGGCTGTAGTAGAGTGTGTCTGGGGCTAACGCAAAGCTCAGGCATATGTTTGGAGGCATTTACATGGAGATGTGGAGTAAGGAATAGTTTATTGAGTCCAGAGTTCAGGAGAAAGCTCAAGCTGGAGATAGAAATTCCAGTTTTCAGATAGCATTTAGGGCCAAGAACCTGGGTATGCTGATGAGGGAGTAAATGTGGATGCAGGAGAGGAGAGGACTCAAGTCATGGGCAATCAAGAGTTAAGGCCCAACTTGAAACTCAGCCGCTGCTCCCCTGATGGCAGGATGTCCTGGAAGATGCCTCAGGACCCTCCTCAATGAGGGTTCCAGATGCTTCTGCTTCAGGGCAAGTCCCAGGATGAGATATCCCAGGACTGAAATGTTGCTTTAATTAGTCTCTGCCCTTTGTCTGTTGGCAGTTAAGCAGCTTAGGGGCAGTGGCTCCTGGTGACTTCCCTCCATTAGGGACCCTGGGGCAGTGATCCAGGTAAGGGCGGGTAAATAAGCATTATTTTCCCCATTCACCTCCTTTCTCAATATCTTTCAAGGAGCCGGCGCAGCAACACTTCTTCTCCAAGCATGACAACCGTACTTCCTTTGACAAAGTGAGTTCTGAAGAAAGGAAGAATGGCAGGCAGTCTCCCAGCCTATGCTGAAGTCTGGACAGAGCAGGCGGTAGGGTGGAGGGGATGACCCTGAGGGAGGGCTCCTTATGAAGGCAGAGGAGTGGCTATCTTCCCCAACAAACTTTCTCCTCTAAGAAACAGCTTACTCCCCCAAACAGAGGCCTCTCTGTTGGTTTCCTCTGCCAGCTTTCCAGACAATGTGCAAATATCCAGTGGGCCACTGACTCTCTGGGTGCTTCGCCTTAGAATGAAAGTCATCAGGCCAGGCATGGTGGCTCAGGCCTGTAATCTCAGCACTTTGGGAGGCTGAGGCAGATGGAACACGAGGTCAGGAGTTCAAGACCAGCCTGGCCAACACGGTGAAACCCCATCTCTACTAAAAATGCAAAAGTTAGCTGGGCCTGGCAGCACATGCCTGTAGTCCCAGCCCCTTGGGAGGCTGAGGCAGAATCGCTTGAACCCAGGACGCAGAGGTTGCAGTGAGCTGAGATGGCACAACTGCACTCCAGCCTGGGCAACAGAGCAAGACTCCATCTTAAAAAAAAAAAAAAAAAAAAGGCTGGGCGCGGTGGCTCAAGCCTGTAATCCCAGCACTTTGGGAGGCCGAGGCGGGTGGATCACGAGGTCAAGAGATCGAGACCATCCTGGTCAACATGGTGAAACCCCGTCTCTACTAAAAATACAAAAAATTATCTGGGCGTGGTGGCACGTGCCTGTAATCCCAGCTACTCAGGAGGCTGAGGCAGGAGAATTGCCTGAACCCAGGAGGCGGAGGTTGCGGTGAGCCGAGATCACGCCATTGCACTCCAGCCTGGGTAACAAGAGCGAAACTCCGTCTCAAAAAAAAAAAAAAAAAAAGAAAGAAACATATCACTGGGGAGGCAGACCAAGGAGGCCAGGGTATAGGCCAAGACAGCCAGGCATAGTACAGACATCACCAAGCAGACTTGGGTTAGGAGGGGCCCAAGAAGGTGCTTGGGGCCAGGAATATGGGCCAAGGGCCCGTACCGTTGAGGAGGGCCCCTACTGCCTGCTGCAGGGAATCGGAAGGCGGAAGGACCTGGAGCGCCTGTGGCAGCGGCACACCTTCCTGCGCTGGGCACCCTGTGAGATGGAGTTGCGCCAGCAAGGGCCCCTGGAATCTTCTTACCAGGCTGATTTCCGACCAGGCCCAGGACTCAGTGGCCTCCCCCAGCGCCTCATCCACTTTGTGCAGGTCCAGCCTTCCCATGCTAGGACCACCTACCAGCAGAACTTCTGCTACCCATCCCGGGGTGGCCACTGTGGCAGCTACAAGGTAGGGCCCCAGGCGCTAGTCACCGACACACTGCCTGACCTCCCAGGGATCCCAAGACCCAAGCTGCTGCAGCACTACCTTCATGCTGGGGTCTCTGAGTGTCTAAACTGGTCCAGAGCATTAAAAAAGGACAGCTGACACAGCAGCCTGTCTGTGATTGCAGCCCAAGATGTATTAGAGGCTGAAAGGTAGTAGTGGGCTGCCAGGTCCTGTGCAGGCCTCCTATGGCACTTATGCCCATGGTGTTTTTGTGCTGGGCATGGGAGGTACTGCTCTGGGAGCCCTGCCACTAAGTGAAAAAGGGTAGGGTTTGCAAGAGGCTAAGAGTCCAGGAGGGTTGCCATAGCCACAGCAAGTGGGTTCCAGGGCCCCGAGTACTACTCTGTTCTTGCAGCAAATCCAGCTGTAGAGAGGAAGAATAGAGGGCCATCCCCAGCCTAAGTTGAAGTCAGGACAGAGCAGGTGATAGGGTGGAGGGGATGACCCTGAGGGAGGGCTCCTTAGGAAGGCAGAGGAGTGGCTATCTTCCCCACAACCTTTCTCCTCTAGGAAATAGCCTATTCCCCCAAACAGAGGCATCTCTGTGTTGGTTTCCTCTGCCAGCTTGCCAGAAAATGTGCAAATATACTGCAGGCCACTGACTTCCTAGGTGCTTCAGCCTAGAATGAAAGGCTCACTGGGGAGGCAGGCCAAGTACTCAGTGTAGCTATGGGGAAAGCAGATCCCAGAGACCCCTACCAGTAGGCAGCAGAGGCTGGAAGAGGGAAGAGTGGGTAGCTTTCTCAGGAGGCAGCTGCCTTTGAGGAGTTTGTTGGGTGGCCACACAGTCCTGTCCAAGAAATGGCTGCCCCACAGCTGAGACAGGAGACTGCCCTGGGCCACAGAACCCACTGAACCACCCCTCCCTGTAAGCAGGGTGAGCCGAGACCCTGAGGAGACACTCTGTAACTTGGATCTGGAGGTCTTCCTAACCCTGTGGTGTTTTCTGAGCACTTCTCTGGTCATCCTATCCTGCCATCCTTTGGTGACATGTGATGACAGCCCTTGTTTACTGTCCTAGTGCTCTCTAATACCAGGACTGTAAGGAGGTGCTGTCATCACATGTTGCCAAAGAAGAAGCTGAGGCTTAGGTGAAACTAATACACCAAATCACTTTGGGAACACAGACCAGATCCAAGAGGCTCCTTCTGGATCCTCATCCTTAGGAGCATTGAGACCCCCAAAGGAGGGCAGGAGCAGTGGAAGCAAGAAGGGAGTTCACACCAGGGTCCGCACTCTAGGTTTTAGCAGCACTTTTACTTCCACATCCAAACTCCCTGGGTCCTCACAACAGCCCTGTGAGGTAGGTAGGGTAGGAAGGTTTCAGAGATCCCCATTTATAGATGAGGATGCTGAGGCACAGAGAGGTGAAGTGACTTGCTCAAGGTCATACAACCAGCAGTGTAAAGGGCCCAAAGCCAACACTCCTCTGCTTGAACTCCTGGGCTCTGGCCCTCTGGCAGTTCCCACATCCTTTCTACTCTCTCTGTGTCCCCCACCCTCTCTGAACTCTCCTGGGTCTACCGGGACCCTAAAGGCAGGCTGGCACCTGGCATTTTTCAGGAATGGCAACTGGGGTGGGCCTGGTCAACTCCAGATAGGAACTGATCCTGAAGAGCATGAGGCCAGCTTTCCTTCTCCCCATTTCCCAGTTGGATGGAAGGCCTAGTAGGTCCCAGGGCAAGGATGGAGCTAGGCATGGTTCATGAACGGATGGTGATAAAGGTAGGTGTAAGCATATGTGTGGCCTGCACTAAAGACGAAGGCTCCCCTAACCCAAGGCCCCAAGCCAGTGTCTCAAGTCCTCATCCCCGTGCCTCTCTCATCCCACAGAGCCACAGTGAGTGTCCTCAGCAGCAAAAGGAGCCATAGATATAGCTGCCTCTGGCACTGAGCTGCTCCAGTGGACAGATCCCACCAGGCCTTCAGACCCCATCACGCAGACACAGTGCCTCCACGGCTTGACTGGGGCCCTGGGCCACACCCCCAATAACAAACAACCGGGGCCCAGCCTGCAGACTAGAGCAGGAGCAGCGGGCGGTGGGCATGGCAGGCAATGCCTCCCATCGCCGTCGTGCCAGGCTAAAGCTCTCCACAGAGCCCAGAGGACATGGCTGGTTTCCTGCAAGAAGGAGAGAGAAGGCTGTGAGAGGCACATACTATAGGGACTCGAGGCCCTTCCTCTCCCTGAGTCCAGAAAATAGCCCAGTAGGTATCATCCCAGGATGGGCTATCATTGTTTTGCTCCTCATGGCCTGAGTTCATCATTTGTTCATTCATGTTTCTATTTGTCCTTTTGACTGTGCATACAGTGGTCATTTGTCCTGCTGCTGCCTCGTAGACCCTTGCTGGTGCTTGACAGAGCCCCCAGTCACTGAGGGATACCCTGAGTGCTGGGCCAGGCAGACCACATCCTGCCTGCTTCACAGACAGGGGAAAGAGCTCACAAAGCCCTGATCTGACCCATGAAGTGCCTGGAGATGGGCAGAAGGTGGCACACAAGTTAGGGGCTACTCTTTCCTGTCTTGGAACTCCCTCCTCTCCCCAGCCCCACAGAGACTTACCAAGGCCCCCAACGGCCACAATGTGCCCCCCAAGGGAGCCAACCACAAAGTCTGCCCTCTTATCCCTCATGCGCAGGCTGCGGGGCAGCTTGGTCCAGGACCCTGCAGGAGAGGGGAGGTCAGCTCTATTCATGTACTTACTATGCCCCTCCATCCCACACAGAGTGAGAGAATGGCCCAGAACAGCCACTGCTCACCATGTTCCAGGTCAAACATCTCCACAGTGTTGACAAAGTGTGGGCGAGAGTAGAAGTTATGGGGCCCAGGCTGCTGCAGGCCACCCAGGCTAAAGACACTGCTTTCAGCCATGGCACAGCCAGCAAAGGCCCGACGGCTGGGTAGGCTTGGATGCCGGGTCCAGGTACGGGTCTCCAGATCAAAGGCTTCAAAAGCAGTCACAGGGAGCTTGCCCTGGCGGCCCCCTGTCAATGGAATTGGGGTACCTGGGAAGGAGCCCAGGAGGCTTGGTGGGCTCCTGGATCACTAGGTTGCTGATCTGCCTGCCCCAGCCTCCCACACATCCTGCTGTGTGCACACTTGCACATGGATCATCCACCCTATAGGCCCTCAGGCATTGGGGTTTGGTTTTCTAACCCCATCAGGACCACCAGGGGTCAGAGCCTCAGAGCAGCCATGGATCACCGCAACAAAGCTTCTCTTGTTCTGCCATCCTGGACTGAGCCCAATCTCTATCCCAGCCAACCTATGAGGATGGGGATTTCTAGACTCTGAACCCCTTTCCCACATCCCCCAGGCCCTTACCCAGGACATAGATCTTGTTCCCGTGCAGGAAGGTGGAGGCCCCATAGCAGGGTGTGGGCATTGAGGGTAGCGAAAGCCAGCAATCCCGACGGGGCTCATACACACGTACCTGGGCCTGGGGGGCCGTGTCAGGGCCCATTCCCCCCAGAGCATACACCATACCATCTGCATAGAAAAAGAGTAGTTCAGACTGCACCCCAGCCTGCCAGGGCACCCCACCCTGACAGCTGTCCTGGTCAAGGCTGGGGGTGGCTAGAGACCCATGTGTTTATGTCATCCCTCCCCAGCAGCAGACACTCTACTACCTGCTTGGTGTGAAGGCTAGGGGAGCTGGGATTCCTACTCTGGTCAGGGCCCCTCTGAGTAAAGAGCAGGAGGCAGCCGGTCTAATTATAATCTGACTCTGTCTCCCTGGAGACGCTATGGCAACAGAGTCTGGCATCCAAGCAGGGCTGGCCTGGGCTGGTGGTCAGACCTGGAGGCCACAAGGTGGGGACTCCCCTGCGGGAGGAAGATGGGGAATGGCTTAAGCCAGGGTGGGAAACATGGGGATCTGTTTAGCACAGAGCTCAGTCTGGGGAGGGAGCTTAGGGACCAGCTGGAGTTAGAAATGGGGGTGGGAGAGGAATGGTTTGGGTCTGTTGGGCAAAGGTACTGTCTACAAGCCTTCTGCCCTGGGATCCTGCCGGCACCTCTTTCACTACGGCACCTCTTTCACCTCTGCCACAATCTTTCACTACAGTAGGCTCTTGCCCTCTGTTAAACCCTCAGAGTCAGCTAGGGTATGTCTGGGGGCCTTGGGGTAATGGGCCAGTCAGCTGGGGGCTTCCATGGCAACCATCCCCAGGTCAGCTTGGCCTTTGTCCATATCAGGCTCTCTGTTGTGTGGGAAGGGTTTAGGGGGGAAGTCTAAGCACTTGCCAGGCTCTGAGCCAAGGCCCTACTCCTGTCCCCCATCCCAGACTATTTATAACCCTGGGAGTCATTAGGTCATCCCACCCCCATCTCTTAGAAATGAGGAGTGGGGCAGGGACATGGCTGGGGCCTCTCATCATTCTGGGATTGGCTTGGGCTCTGCCTCCCACCTTAGTCAGAAAAGACACTTAATAGAAGGCTGCTGAAAGCCTAGCTCAAAGCTAGGTTGGAAAGGATACAGGAGACAGGGCCACGTCCTGGGCACCTATGTAAAAATTACAGCTCTTGTTCAGTCTCTGAGGGCAAGGGACTGTCAGGAAATAATAAAAGGTGTTAGGGTACCTGAAGTGCCTTCCTTGGGAGGCCACTCACCTCTCTCGACAGTTGCAACCCCCATGGCTGCTTGAGGGAGTGTGGCTCGACGCTCCCAGCGGCCCTCATCCATCAGGAAGGCCTCCACAGCAGCTACCGGGCTTTGGACCTCATCCACACCACCCACCACTAGCACCTGCTTGCCCAGAACCACCGCAGCTGCGCCAGCCCGGGCAGTGGGCAGGGGTGCCAGTGCCAGCCATGTGTGTGAGGCCATGTCCAGTGTCTCAGCAGTGTCCAGGGGCAGTCCAGCCTGGCCACAACCCCCCAACACCAGCAGGTGCCCATCTTGGTGTGCCACTGTGCCATAGACCCGGCAAGTGGGCATAGGGGGGAACACCTGCCAAACAAAGGCCCGGCCACCTCCTGCAGACATGGTGTTCACTGCCAATGGCAGGCCATGCTGTCTGCTCAGACTGTAGGCCTCACTGGGGAGGCATGATAGGGCCTCATCTTGATTCTGCCAGGGCCACAGGGGTATATGACCAGTCCAGGGACCTTGCCTCCACCTGAGGAGAGAGGGAAAACGGGTCAGGGCCACTGACCAGCCCCTCAGGAAACAGATAAGCAGCCTGTAGCTGAGGGTAGGGCTGACCCAAAATCACTGGTGGGAAAGGCAGGGGGAGAACCCAACCCCTCTGGCTAGCACACCACCGTGGAGGCCCTCTAGGAGTGGGAAGGAGGGCAGACTCCAGGCACCCAGGAACCGTTCCTCTTTCTCATGGGGGCATGAAGGATTCTCCTTCCCACCCACTACCCTAACCACTCAGCAACTGAGTCAAATCTGGGTCTAGGAAGGTAGTAGAAAGGTGACTAGAACAGGACTCTCCATCCTGGACCCCTTTCTTTCCCCTCAACAAGCCTCACACTAGTTCTGCATGAGGGGAGTCCTACTGTATCCTCCCCTTACTGGCTTCCAGAGTGCTCTGGGCAGCCTGAGGGGTACCCATGCCTGCTGTCAGGGGTCAGATTCCAGAATAGCCTTACAACATCCTGGGGGCCATTCCACAGGGTTAATTTAAACCATTCCCACCAGTAAAAGGCCAGAGTCAGGTGTGTTTCAGACTAGGGGGAGGGCTGCACACCACGGTTCCACACTCTCCTCTGGTGGTCTCCCCTCAGGGGTTTGCCCATTCCAAACCCCCCAGAAGCCAGATTCTCTGGTGTCCAGAAGTGGGGTGAGGGGGCCGTTGGGGGAATCTCATGACCGCAGGACTCCACGGTCCTAGTCCAGGGCGTTTCCAGCAGGAATGGCAGCTGGACTTCTGGGTTCCCTCGCAGCAGATCCCCAAGTTCTCCAACCACCCCTTTCCTTTCTCTTGGGGGCTACACTCCTGGACCCCAGGCAGGAGGGCCTCCTGGCCCCAAACTTCCAGCTCAAGGATGCGGGGGGCGGGTCTGGGCTAGCGCTTGGGGTTCTACGCCCCGAGCCCCAAACTTCCCCTGAGCGTGGTTCCCGCGGGACTCACCCGCCGATGCTCCGAAGCTGCCAGGGCACGGGGTCCGCCGTTCCGCCTCCGCTGACGCCGGATCTGGCTGGGGCTGAAATCGGGCTCCTGCGGGGCTCCGGCACTGCTCCGGCGCGGGGCGGGGCTGGGCCAGGTCCGCCCCTCGCCCCCTCCCCCTCCGACACAGGGAAACCTCCTCCCGCCTTAACCCTGCACGTGCCGCAGCTGGAGTGGGGCGCGCCGACCCACGGCCACATGCAAACGGACAGACAAACGGACACGTGGACACTGGGCCTGCCAGGATTTAGCGTCCGACTTCGGACAGGAGTAGAAATGTGGCAGCGGCGAGCGACACAACACATGTATGGCGAGGGGCAGTTCTGAGACGGACCCACCCTGGGGGGCTCACGCTGTAGAGCACGCCAGCCGAACCCGAGGGCTTGTTCGGCCGGCGCCAGCCCACCTCCGCTGAGCTCCGGGGAACCCAATGTCAGGCTTCGTGGCGGCGCCCCCTGGAGGCCACTGAGGGCATGGCCTGGGCCTCTGCCTTGGGACAGCCTGGGTCGCCCTTACCCTGGCATAAAGCAGGAATAGGTCTTACAGTGTACACTGAGGCTAGCAGGGGTGGAGGAACAGAAGGTACTGGCCGTTCTACAAACCTGGGTGGGGAGAATTCTTGAAGGGAGTGACACTGAGCAGAGGATGTCATAGAAGAGTCAGAGGCCAGGGGACCTCCCAAGTGGGTCACTCTGGCCTTATCCTGTACAGCCTGAGACCTGGGCTACTTCAGGACCCAAGGTGCATTATAACTAGCCATCTTTAGGATCCTGGGCTTGTCTCTGACCAAGAGCAAGAGGTAGGGGTCAAGCAAGAACAAAATGGTGTGACAGGCCCACCTACCGCAGGCACTGAAGTGCAAGTGGAGAAAACTCCACTTCTCCAAGCTCTTGTGGTAGGTCTGACGCTGTCAGATCTTGGCCCTGCCTATTTTCTGAGCATTCCGAGTGTTAGCTGAGTCTTCAAGCTGGGGGCCCATTAGTACAGGTCAGTGGTACTTGTGGGAAGAGATCCTTGCAGTTGTCTGTGTCTGCTCACTGCCTTGTCCCCCTTTCATGGACAGTGCTTATCTTAGTTTCCCCAAAGCAGACCTGGAAACAAAGATATACATGCATATAGTTAGTATGGGAGGTGAGGCCAAGAAACACCAGCAGTGGCAAGGAGACAAGGAAAGCAGCCAATAAAGGAAGTGTCATCAAGCAAGCTACTACTGTGAGCAATTGGGACAAAATCCTGCTGGGAATTCTGGGAGCCAGAGTAGAACATAGGCCTTACATTATTGCTGCCCCCAAGAGCAAGGGGAGCTGAGGTACTCATTCTCAAATCTCCATTAGTCACGAGTTGAGAGCTGTTTGGGGGCATTACCTATTAACTCCCTGGCCTACCTCACATCTGGCCTTCCCAGAAGACTATGGGTAGTTCCTTCCCCACGATCAGGGAAGAGAGCCTTTGCCCCTTTCAGGGGCTGTCAGTTGGATTCAGAGGGCCTGCACAGAAAAAGTGGTGCCAAGGCTTGTTACAGACTGCACAGACCTTGACTTGAAGGCCTCGACCTTCCTTGTCCCACTTCACCTTGGACTTGCTCTTCAGTGCTCTCACTTGGAACCCTGGTGCCACCCTCTTGTGATTGCCAGTAGGTTTCCAAGAGGCTCACACTGCCCTGCAGACCCCTTCACATTTGCTACTGTTCCCTTTCCAAGCTCCTTCCTCCTCTCCAGCAATGAAGCACTTACAAGCCACTTGCCTTTAGATACCTCCCAACACCCCAAGGCCCTCTTGCCTCCCCTTTCTACCCTCCAGTCAAATTCTTGAAGCCGTTTGTCCTCACAAGCTCCATATCCTTGTTACTTGCCACCTCAGTGTGCTGCCACTCCTTCTCCAAAATTGCTCTTGAAAAAGTCATCACGGAATACCATATAGCTAAAACTGTATCTGCCTGTGGTCCTTGGTCCTTGTCTTAACTAAATCTTTCTAGCATCGTCAAAGTTTTGCCCCTTGTGACCTCAGCTTCCTCCTGCTGCTTGTCCTGCCTCTCAGAATCTTTTCTAGGCTCTGCTTCTTCTCCATCACCAGGAATTGGCTCCTCAAGATTCAACCCTGGCTTTTCTCCCTGGCACACATATTTTCTCTTGGGACAATCCCTTCCAGGCCATGTCTTCATGCACGTCTAGATCTCTATCAGGTCTCTCTGCTCTGATAGAGGTAGGTCCAGGATCCACAGATAAGGCCGGGGAAGGGGGTGACTCACACCTGTAATACTAGCACTTTGGGAGGCTGAGGAGGGCAGGTCACCTCAGGTTGGGAGTTCAAGACCAGCCTGACCAACATGGTGAAACCTTGGCTCTACTAAAATTAGAAAAAATTGGCCGGGCACGATGACTCATGCCTGTAATTCCAGCACTTTGGGAGACCAATGTTGTGGATCCTTTGAGGCCAGGAGCTCGAGACCAGCTGGGCCAACATGGTGAAACCCCACTTCTACTAAAAATATAAAAATTAGCCGGGCATGGTGGTGAATGCCTGTAGTCCCAGCTACTCCGGAGGCTGAGGTAGGAGAATCACTTGAACCCAGGAGGTGGAGGTTGCAGTGAGCTGAGATCACGCCACTGCACGCCAGCCTGGGCAACAGAGTGAGACTACATCTCCAAAAAAAAGGCTGGGCGCAGTGGCTCATGCCTGTAATCCCAGCACTTTGGGAGGCCAAGGTGGGTGGATCATGAGGTCAGGAGATCGAGACCATCCTGGTCAACATGGTGAAACCCCATCTCTACTAAAAATACAAAAAAAAAAAAAAAATAGCTGGACGTAGTGGTGCATGCCTGTAGTCCCAGCTACTGGGGAGGCTGAGGCAGGAGAATTGCTTGAACCCAGAAGGCGGAGATTGCAGTGAGCTGAGATGGAACCACTGCACTACAGCCTGAGAGACGGTGCAAGACTCTGTCTCAAAAAAAAAAAAAAAAAAAAAAGAAGAGGGGCCAGGCGCGGTGGCTCAAGCCTGTAATCCCAGCACTTTGGGAGGCCGAGGCGGGTGGATCACAAGGTCAAGAGATCGAGACCATCCTGGTCAACATGGTGAAACTCCGTCTCTACTAAAAATACAAAAAAAATTAGCTGGGCATCGTGGCGCGTGCCTGTAATCCCAGCTACACAGGAGGCTGAGGCAGGAGAATTGCCTGAACCCAGGAGGCGGAGGTTGCGGTAAGCGGAGATCATGCCATTGCACTCCAGCCTGGGTAACGAGAACGAAACTCCGTCTCAAAAAAAAAAAAAAAGAAGAAGAAGAAGAAGAAGAAGAACAAGAAGAAACATATAAGTTGCCAAATGGAAAGCAATGATTGGATCCTAGGAGCACCCTGTGTTCTCTTCCATCTCATCCTATCTGATCCCAGTTATACCAGTAGACTCAACATCCACTAGAGTCCAAGTCAAGTCAGACTGCACTCTGATGAGTGCTCCCAAAGAATTTCATCTAGGGCATAGTTGGCACCAGGAGGCAAAAAGTTCAGCCCTACCACCCCCGAATGGAGCTAGGTACCCCATGATCCTTAGCCCTAATCTCTATCATTTCCCCAGTTCTCATGTCTAGAAGGGACACAACACAGTCAGAGGATGAATCTACCATTCCTGGTTCTCCATTTGTCCTAACTTCTGAGCTGAACATCACCAGAGAGAGGTCTGGATATGTCCACACTGGTGCCATCCCTGGAGAATGGGCTCTCACTCTCCATGGAAGGGGTTTCTGTTTGCACAATCATGGCTCACTGTAGAAGGGAGATCCCATAAGTGCTGATGCTGGAGCCAAAAGCCTCAGCTTATCTCCATATAAATAATGAAGAAGAAAGTAACTAGAAATTAGTATTTATTAGTTATTCATAGGTGATCTTAATTCTTTTTTTTTTTTTTTTTTTTTTTTTTTGAGACGGAGTTTCGCCCTTGTTACCCAGGCTGGAGTGCAATGGCGCCATCTCGGCTCACCGCAACCTCTGCCTCCTGGGCTCAGGCAATTCTCCTGCCTCAGCCTCCTGAGTAGCTGGGATTACAGGCACGTGCCACCATGCCCAGCTAATTTTTTGCACTTTTAGTAGAGACGGGGTTTCACCATGTTGACCAGGATGGTCTCGATCTCTCGACCTCGTGATCCACCCGCCTCGGCCTCCCAAAGTGCTGGGATTACAGGCTTGAGCCACTGCGCCCGGCGATCTTAATTCTTTTACTAATGCCTCTCAGGTTGGAAATGTGAACCTGGGGCGACATTGTGAAATGAATAACTCTAAGGCAAGATGCTTTAAGCCTTCTGTCACACCCTCATAAGGGCTGCTAGAGGGTGCCTTGGCTAAGCGGCAAAAGTGCCCACTGTTTAGCCAGCTAGGGAAGGAGACATCCAAAATAGCTGAGACGTCTCCTTCCTCGGAGGAGTTAGGAGAAGACTCCATTTCTCCAAGCTCTTGTGGTAGGCCTGACACTGTCAGGTAGGTCCGCAGACATCCAGGGGCTTAATTGTGATGCTGTGCTTTAGTGGTCACGTTCCATGTCAATCTTATGATCCGCTTCGCCACCTGGTTCCTTTTTTCTTGTAAGAATTAATCAGTAAAAGTAACGTAACTCTTAATGTCTTTGTGACAAGTATGGAAAAAGTGCTGACGCATTATGTCCCTTACCTCATCTCAGCTGCTGAAAATTCCTGACCCCTACCTGAATGACACATGATATACCTGACCCTATCACTGCCACGCCCTATCTACCCTGCCCCCAGATTTGCAACTCAATAAAAGTCAGAGTGTGCAGACACTCGGGGCCACTGCTGGACTGTTAACCAAAGGGTGGAACCCCGGGCCCAAACTCTTTTTTCTCTGTCTTTGTCTTGTGTCTTTTATTTCTACAATTTCTCATCTCCGCACCAGCAGGGAGGGGCTCACAGAACCCTGTAGGGCTGGACCCTACAGCTCACCTGAACACAGGAGGCCAACTCTGCTGGCTTTGAAGAAGCTGTAAATGACAACTGGTTAAATCGGTCCTGAGAGTGAACAATTAATCTTCAACCATGGACAGGGCCAGAGATGGGACTCACCCACAGCTGGGGACTGGGATCACCAAGGTGGAGCTTCCTGACTGCACCCCATGAGACCCTG